ATGTCTTTTGGTTTGTTTTTTGCCTCTGAGTAGCATTCAGTACAAATAATTTTTTAAAAATTTTTAATTTTAAGAATCATGTTTTTTAGCATTTATTATATTTGTTATATGGATTTTTGTTTCTCTTGCAGCTGATTTTGGTGTTTCTGCACGCAACACAAAAACCAATCAAAAGAGAGATTCCTTCATTGGTACCCCATATTGGTAAGAATGATATTGTTTGTAATTTCTGCATTTTATACATGTATATTCTGCACACTGATGACTAGTATGTCGGTAAGACTGTATGTTGAATCAGTATTTTGAATTGCTTCGCTTCAATCTGAATCAGAATCACATTGGAAGCATTTGTCATTAATTAATCCAAAAATGTGCAAAACACTGTAAAAAGGCATTATTAAAATGTTATTTCAAACAAAGTATACCAGTCTTCTTGCAGCGGATGATGTGTAAACCTCATCACTTCTCTAAGGTCATATTTTCATTCTAGTTATATAATACCAAACATTATTACCTATGTACTGCAGTTTATTTTTATTCGCCCCTGAAATCAAAATGGGTATTTCCACACCTCATGTGCAAATGAGGTCTGAGAGCAAAAAAGTAGTCCTTTCAAGAGTACCGTTTTTCGAAACATAGCAGAAATAAACAATATTAAGAAGTACGATATTTTTCACTTGGGGTACATGAATATACTTGCCGAGTGAAATGAAATTTGAACAACAGTAATGGTACCTTTAGCCAGTCACTTATTTTGACAAAAACTAATTTGCATATCACCCATGCAATAATGTTTTCGGTATTTTCACGGTCGATATGCAATTGAACATGGTATTTCCATCGGCTACCGAACTATTTTTATTTTGTAAACACATTTTCGTCTGTTATTTTTGTTCGGTTCAAATCGTCAGGCAACATTTTTGGCGTATTAGGTGTACATGGAATACTACGATTGGGAGAACTTAATGTATGTTGACCACCTTGAAGGGCTCTCGGAAGATCCACCAGCAGTGAAATCAGCGATTACTTCGCAGCCGCAACCATCAACATCGAGATACCAAGTTTCTGCTGGCGACGTTGCGGCGTTACTCCGTTCCAAATAAAAATTACCAACGCCAAAAGAGCAACATTTTAACCGGTAACCAAGACTCAGTCAATCAACGACCAGCAAGCAAGATCACACACGAAGTTGTAGTGTGCAGCTCAGCGACGGCCGCTGTCGACGAAAGTCATCCCGTCAGTGAAGTACCGCAGTTGCACGGCATGTTTGCCAATGCACAATTCTGTGGCGGAACTTTTAACTTCAACATAAACTGTGTATCATAGTCGTCCAGTTCAAGTTCTGGTTCTGTCGTGGTCCCAACTAAACGTCAACAAGTTAGTTATTCGAACAGTGACTCAGATTAGATGTCTGATTATTTTAATTTCAAACAAACAGTGACACTCGTTCTCCGGGCGCGTTCTACACTTACACGCGCTGTTAGGGCGTAACACTATATTCGAACATATTAGTGGGCAATGGGGTTCCCCGACCTAAATTCCATCCTTCGCTCGTGAAAGTACGGCCACAGAATACACCGCATCACTCATGAAAATAACTTCCATACGCAACGAAAGCCATGGGCAGGGTGTGGGGTTCTGTTATTATATTGTTCATCAAATTGAATGACCACATTTTAAACAACAACTATTTTAAAACAAATGTTCATATATATTTACCAAATTGGCATACAAATGAGAAAATTATCAAATGATGTACGTTCAATGAATTCAAAATTGTCTAAGACTTGTGTTATTGTTTAAAAATAAATCAGTTCACGATATGATTAAGATGTTATTTACAAACTATAAATTACGGTGCTATATCACCATGCTTTATGTTTGATATTCCATGAGTCACCTATGACTAGTGTCAGTGATTATATCAAATGTCAATTCAACTAATTATCTTAACCTTTTCACCATCACACTTTCTTACCAAATTTTCTGCACTTTTTTCTTAAATTCTTCAATATTTCTGGTAATGAACTCTAATTTTGGAGCCAACAAACAAAATTTCAGTCAACTTTTGGTTTTTAGTCCCCGTTCGGACGTAGTCCGAAAACGGGGACTTATGTTTTGCCCTGTGGTGCGTCCGTGCGTCCGTCCGTCCGTGCGTCCGTCCGTCCGTCCGTGATCACCTGTATCTCGAACATGCATGGAC